TGACTCATAAAATAAGTCATCTTAATGTGAAAATTCCACGGTTTGTATTGAAGATAACTAAATGTAATTTGAATGTATGTATGTATTAGTATTATTAACCCATGTACTTCATAATATTATGCATACACATAAACGTTTTACACATAGTTTATCATAAATGCTAAAAAAAAGCTTAGCGCAACAAGAACTTTATACTTAGCTGATAAATTAAAATACAATTGATATAAATTGGTTTTTGGTCGGTCTGAATTGTATAATTGGAATGGTTATTCATTATTCGTATGCACGAAGTCCATCTATTTGCCTCTTGGGTGGTGTGGAAAAATAGATGAAAAAATCAGGTGTGGATCTCAGGACCCTCGGCAGAAGTGAAACATTCAACTCAAATGTTATTAAAATCCCATATTAAAATAGTGAAAATTTTAATATTATGACGTATTCAAGCACGGGCGTGCATGAAACATATACAGCTTAATATAATACTTATCTTATGACTTACGCATTCTAAGTACTTTCGTGTTTGCTATGATACATGCAATACATGTACGAATTGTTGGTCATGTAATGCAGAATTTCTAAAAGTTTTCACTATAGGTACTACGCTGGAAGAAGATACTTTTGTTCAATTACGCGGGACAAACATTCCTTTTATTTGAAACTAATATTCGTCCCTTTAATATAACATAATATTTGTACACTAAATTCTTGTTAGAATTTTTGTATCTGACAAATAAAAATTTTTTTACATTTTGACTACCATAGAAGTAAAATAATCAACTACATCTTATTGAGATAAAGGAAAACAATAAACATATAGCTATTTTCCATTTTAAAATTGTAGTTTTTCATTTCATTCGTTTTCTATAATAATTCATAATTTAATATTAAAATTCACCCGTGTTTAACTAATTTCTATTGATCTCAAAATTAATAAAAATAATATAGGTTTTGGTCCCGTGATAATTTTTTTTATAGTAAATAGTAGAGAACTGAAAATAAATCAATTTATGGGTACGATATAAAGGTTGTAAGTTTGCCTTTGAGTTATGACTTATAATTTTCAGAATTATTACGATTATTTGTGTGAATCCGTGTAAAACATTTTTGCACCTCAATAATTATTTTGTAAACGTGGCATTATTTTTGGCCCATCTGGCTTCCATTTCGAGATACGACTGTTTTTCTAATTTTGGGAGGTTATGTTAAAACAAAAATTTTTCGAAGATTTTGTCAACATCCGTATTAATTTTCCAAACATGCCATACTGAATAAAAAAATTCTTTTGACTGGTTCTTTTCAAGATACAGCCAAAAAATAAAAAAATAGAGCTTATGTTTGTTCATAGTCTTACCCTCCTCTATTTGTGCACCTCGGTCATGTAGATTCCCTGTATGAAACCCGTAGAAATTATTTTTATCCAATTGTGCTTCCTTTTCGAGATACAGAATTTTTTCTTGTTTTCAACAATTAAGTTGTATCATACACATTTAATATTTTACGTAAGTTTCAGACTTCATGGAGATCAAGCGACGTTTTGTGTCAGACACTATTTACCTGATAGTACCTTAGCTGTAACGGAGACCCAGTTTAGTCCGTATCACAGCTACGTTACGATTTCTACCATACAGTAGTAGGTTTACCTACAGATAGAAGTGATTGCGGTGGCGCAAGAATAGAGTTGCAGTTCCACTGATCTCCGATGTTAAGCAGTATTTGATGCGGTTAGTACTTGGATGGGTGACCGTTCTGATTGTCTGTTTCTCTTACGTGTCATCAACGTGATCATAATGAATACATATAACGTGATCATGTATGTATATATATGTATATACATATGTATATATATATAAACATATGTTTATGAGTAGTGACTTATACGGACAATCACGTGTATGTAAGGATTATTATGAGGACAAAAGTGGAATTATGTGGACGTCCACATAATTCTACTATGTTATTAATATACATGTTAGAATCACGTAAAGTCTGCATAAGTCACTACTTATAAACATATATATATAAACGTATATATGTATGTAGAGAGATACTCTATAGAGAGAAGCTATATCACATATATAAATAGAGTAACTGCGGCGCACTACTGTGCGCATGCGAGAGGAAGAGAGACAGATACAGACCCCCTGCCCATGGCCCAGTCAGCGCTGCTTGGTAAACATACAGATGATATACATGAATACTTATGTGAACGGCAGTATTCGCTCACTCGCTCGCTCGCTCGCTCGTTTTACGAATTAACTCCCTAAATAAGGCGCGCCTAAAAAAGTTACACGTAAAAAAAACTTATTGTAAAAAAAAAAACATGTTATTTTTACTTAACATTCTTCACAAATGAACATTTTTACAGTATAAATATATTTATGACATATTATTTTTATGATATATTAAATTATATTTTTATTAAAAGACTCTGAGTAAAATATAAATGAATAGATCATCTTTTAACTACCAATATAAATGGTTTCATATGTTGCAACGTTACTTGGATTGCCCACACAGTTAACTATATAATATAACAGTTAGTTTTATGATTTAATACATAATAGTAATGACGCTTCGCACAAGAACCCCCTATAAATCAATTATGGCTTCAAATTTCTTCTTGACAATATGATAGATCATGGTGATAAGACAGTTTTTTTCTTAAAGTAATTTAATAATGAAGTAGATTAAAAGTAATAGATTAATCTGTCAACGACATGTACTCGTCTGTCGTATGTACCCACATCAAGGTCCGAGAAAGGCGGTATGATCCCTGTCAGGTTTCCCAAAAGTATTTTAGGAGTGGTGGGGGGTCACGAAAAATGTGAGGGAATTTTGGGAAAAACTGCAATGCGTCAAAAAGATGGAGAAAATGACGGGTTTTTACCTTATTTTGTGGGGGATAAATGGGAACTGCGGGGGGCTGTGGGGAGGTTGTGTGGAAGGCCCCACCAAGATAACTATGTAATATAAGAAGATATATATCGCTTTAGTCTATAATATACGTTTACAATGATATATTTCAAGAGATTAAAAAATACATCAGTTCTTGCCTATTTTTGGCGTTGTTATATCACATACAGTCAAATTTGCTTATAAAAGTAAACGAGAAACACAAAATACAAAAGGTAGGGGAGGTACTATTCATTTCGCACCCTCAGTTTGCTCGAAATTCATAACTTTTCGCCACTAGCGGGCTAGCATTGCCTGCCTTACTATACTTTGCTGGCCCTGTGTATTGAGCCTGGGCTCACTGGCGCTAACTCTCCGATCGCTGTATTGGCGCATGCCCGAGGCGTGCTCCACACATATGTCACGGCACCATCGTATTGTCACGTTGACCATTAGTTTTTGCATATGACCGGAGTATCGCCTTTTTATCTTCAGTAGCCAGAGGACCCACTCGTTTCACCGGCACCATGCGTCTAGGGCGCCGACCAGGAAAGCCTCCACCTAGACCGCATACCCCTGCTGCCTGAGGTCCTCCGCATGATTGTGGTATTTTTATAACTTTTCTTCTCGAGCTTCGCGAAGGGCTCCCAGACGGTTTTTGAAGGGCACAGCAACGTCGACGATAATGACCCTGTGCTGGGTCTCGTTTCTAACTACAAGGCTAGGTCTCAACAGCTGGCACTCCCAGTCGACACCCTCAACCCGGCGATTCACCGATACCACCCCAGGCGCGCACATCGCTTTTGCGAGGTAATCAAGGATGTTGTTGCGTTGCCTCGCAATTGCCGCCGAGTTCGGTCCGCAATGCTGGATTACATGTGGGAGCGTCTCCAGTCCCGCTTTGCCCCTCCTGCAGCGCTTATCCACCGCGGCCAGCCACCTTTTTGCAGCGTTGAGCGGCAGCACATTTAGCCGGGCTCTGTGAATAAAATGCCACTCCGTGATGCGGGTAAAGCTGGCGTTTCTTAAGAAGTAGTTGGCCGTTGAGGAGCGAGACGTGACCTCGTACACCTTTCCCTGTTTTTTTTGGCAAGCAGTCGCTCCCTATAGTGCTTTACCAGTGCGGTCTGGAGCCGGCGGACAATCTGCGCCTTAGCCTGGGGCATGACGAGCACCCTGTTTCGTGCACTCCGGCATTCCAAGGCCATTTCGAGGCGCTCATGGGACTAGCCCCACCTCACACCAAGTGCCTTACGCAGCCTGCATGCCGCATTCTGCGCCCTAGACCATAATGTCACGAGGTCGCTTGACGGCTGTGCCAAGTTCCTATCAAGCGACCCCCACAGGTACTTGGCCAAATCCTGCTCGCTCGCTTTTCTTTTTATACGGGCTTCAACAACCCCCCGATACCCACTCACCCGCCCGTCAGTTGCATGCAGCATTTTATAGATATGGGCTATTGTTAGCAAGTCAGCCATGTCCACGAGCAGGAGCAGCCCACCCCTACCCACTCAGTGGGAGTGGAAGAACACCTCCGCGCTTGCCCTTTGGGAGAGGTGTATCCACCCCTTGGCGAGCTTTTTGAGTACCTTGTCTTCTTCTATCAGACGATCTTTCGCCACCGCTGAGCCTCTCAAACAAAAATGCATTCTTGGCAAGATAAACGAGGCCGCCATCTCTAGCTTCTGCCAGGAGGCAAGGAGAAAGTGGTCCACGGCAAGCAGGTCCTACACCGTATCATCGATTATGTCTATCGGGGTCTCACTAACCCTATAGCCCGTCTGAGTGCCCAAGTACGTGTACGCCAATGCCCGCATCTCCGTCTCCTGTACCAAAAAACGCGTGCCTTCCCATCACCTCATAGCCCCTTCGGCCGCTTTTACGACCCATATGATGGGTTATTACAAATTATGGGGTTAAGCGGGAAACTCTGCACCACCCCCGAGAGGACCTCGATTGGCTCCGTCAGTCCACCAGCCATTCTGACGCACGTAGTCACGCCCCCGTATGCCCCTCCACCTGTCTTCATATCCGGGTACTGTATGCTCAGCCAGGGCCCTGTCAATCGACGCGTGAGGGACCAAGCCGAACGCATTTGCTAAGTCTAGTTACGCCACCGATAGCTCTCTGCTTTTGGTATTTGAGTCCCGGATTATCTCCTGAAGCACGAAGCCACGTTCATAGTAGAACTCGTTCTGCAGGAAACCTTTTTGCGCCGGACTCAGTCTGCCGTTTGTTGTCGCCCACTTGGTCAGCCGATCCGCGACGAGGGCCGCAAAGAGCTTGGCCGTCGTCAGGCCCAGGGTTAAAGGCCTCCAATTACTGATCTCTCTTCGATCTCCCTTCTTGTAGACGAGGACGGTCTCGGGCGTGTTGTATAGTGCCCTCAGCGAGTGACACTTCGGGTCCGCTCTCCGCAGGTCAGCGTAGGTTACTCCATCGGATCTGGGCGAAGAAATACTTATCTTCCCAAGTCTCCGTTTCACCTCCATCTCGTTGAAGGGGGCGCACAGCCTATCTCTACTATCAAGGATCGGCTCCGTATTATCAAACACCAGCGGCAGCTCTCCAGGTGGCTCTCAGCGCGCATGGATTTGCCGGAAGTGCTCCCGCACCTCCACTGCACTGAGTTCGCAGCGCTCGGGAGGCCCATCAAACACCTCCTGCACCGCGCGCCATCTGTTTTTGTGGTATAGCTTTTGAATCCACGTTGCCGCTGCCTTCCATCCCTGTCTCTCTGGATTCCCGTCCTTGTCATTGGCTCTGTCACCCGCTTCGGACTGCTCAGGCCCGCTTCCCCGCCTCCACACGGAAAATAATTTTGAGCATAAGGATATGAAGTACATGTGCTTATAGAGTTCAAGTCATTTTGAATTCCTACTACACAAGTATTTGGACTACCTAAGATCAAAGATTGTGTCACAGTTGTTCAAATGTGCATTGAACTCGTAAAGCACAAGCGTGAGAGCGACGCTTCCTATAGTTTGTGTACGCACAGTACGGCGCAGCATTGGACAGTAGAAGCTTGTGGAGGGGAGCCCCTGGAGCTCAGCGATCGTGCTCTCACAGCACAAAGTCTGGGCCCTGCGCCTTTAAAGCATCGTTGAGCTCTGCAATGCCGTATTTTGGGCTGAGAAAGCTAAATCGTGCGTATACCTCCTCGGCCCTAAACATCATCGAACTGCATGAGCCTAATAATTGGGCTTAAATATACTAAAGGCTTACAACCAATGACCACAATGAGTATATGTATACATAAAACGGAAATAGTTTTTTAACAAAGATATGAAAACTGTTTTATTTCAATAAAATAGTTATTTATTCAGATTACATCTCGTGAGTTTTTACAATATTGGAAAATACTTGAGTGCAACAATAACGGGTTTTTGATATATTTTTTAAAAATCGTTAAAAGATTGACTACATTTAGTTATTAAAGCACTTTTTTATATACAACGAAAATAGTTTTTTAACAAAAATATCAAAATTGTTTTATTTCAATAAAATAGTTATTCATTCAGATTACATCTCGTAAGTTTTTACAATATTGGAAAATACTTGAGTGCAACAATAACGGGTTTTTGATATATTTTGCAAAAATTATCAAATAATTGACTACATTAAGTTATTAAAGCACATTTTCATTAGAATCGTTTTAACTATAATATCAATAAATTTTATCAAAAAACTTTCGTGGACCTACGTTTTCTAAACGTAATTTGTAGATAAAACTTAGTATACAACAAAAAGGAGTATTCGAAATTAAAGTACTTTTTGTATGTACAAACGGATTTACAATTCTATTCGATAACTTTTTTCAAAAAATTATGGAAACAAATTTTAATTATATTGTATTTATTTATTCAAGACATACCTTAGGCCACAATTTAAGTTAGTTGAAAGAGCTGTGCTGGGCAAAACAAGATCTAATGAGTTTAACCAAAGTTCTTCGAATCACACAACTACCAATATGAATTTTGTTCTTCAATACACTAGTATAGTAAATGGATCTAATAGATATTATTCTTAGAGTCTTAGATCGTCGTAGCAGCTAGTTAACTAAATAATTCATAAACGTAATATTTTATCAAATGGTGACACGAATAAAAAAATTGGAGGGCGGTGGGGGCGAAATAATGTTTTCTTGTGTAATGAATAGTTTATCCTAAAAGAACAAGTATCACGTGACTGTCGACAGAATACGTCGTGATCTGATTGGTTGTGAGTAACGAAAAGCGGTACATTTAAATGTACATATGAGATTAAGTAGAGAAGCGCTGGCTAATCGAGGTCATTTTATTCGTTTGAACTTAAATTTATTTTAAAAATTTAATCATTCGATTTAGATTAAATAACTATTACAAATATGTATGATCAAAAAAGTTTGGGGCAAAGCCCCTGAGTTCATTTGAAAAATACAGTTTAAGTTGCTTTTTTTTAAATGAAACATCGTATCTGGTCGCGACAAAATGATCACTTTTTATCACTAACCGTAGTGGACTGTCTTACTACACTACACATTCATGTAAACACAAAAGTGACAAAAGGCTTGCACTGCAAAAGCACGTTAGTATATACCTATACAATCCACATAATATGAGTCCAGACTTTGTGCTGTAAGAGCACGATCGCTGAGCTCCAGGTCCAGGGGCTCCCCTCCACAAGCTTCTACAGTTCAATGCTACGCCGTACTGTACGCGCACAGACTATAGGCAGCGTGGCTCTCATGCTAGTGCTTTACGAGTTCAATGCATATTTGAACTATTGTGACACAATCTTTGATCTTAGGTAGTCCAAATACTTGTGTAGTAGAAATTCAAAATAATTTGAACTCTATAAGCACCCGTATTTGATCTCCTTATGCTCAAAATTATTTTTTGTGCACCGCCGAACGCCATCCCAAGGGCGATCCCGCCCACTTTCATCCCGCCCGCAGCCGCCGCACGTGAGAGTTGCGACAGAAACCCGGCGCATCGAGCAGACAACTCCTCGAGTTGACGGGCATTAGTAGCAGGAGCCGTCAAAGCCACCAATGTCTCCTGATCGGCAGTTATTGGCCTATCAACTCAGTTGAGTCTTCAGTTTTCTTGCCGAGGAGGCCTCTCACCTCTCGTCCGCAAGACTTGCAGGCAGCCTCGGAGCCCGAGCCGCCGCACCCTCGCGACCAGGACGAGAGACAAAAGCGACGTTACGGCCATGCAGGCTCAGATCCCCCACGTGCTCCATCCCGCTCTCCCATTCCCGTATTTCCGAGGCATCAATCGATGCGCTCACACCAGTGCACAGTGGTCTTAAAAGCTGAAAAAATGCTCAAAATCCGTGCTTCCCCTGGGTTTTGACTCAAAAAAATTGATTTTGGGCTTATTTTGTTTGTAAAAGAATTCTCTATGAGGATCCGTTTCTCTCAGATGTGTAACGACTTCATATGCATATGTTTTTTAGCTATACATAGAGCAATTTTTGATTGTCAAAATACTCTGGACACATAATACGTTGTTAAAGTTAACTGATTCATACAAAATTTTAATCACAGGGGTTTTTGAGGTTGCTGATCACGAATCTGAGGTCGGATTGGTCAATTTCAAGATGTTGGATCCAAGATGGTAGACGAAATTTTCAAAAATCAACCGAATCGTACCAACCTTGGTATAATCCCGTTTGATCAGTG